ACACAACTAAACAGCAGGATAACAGCTGTATAGAAGCGCTAATGGATATGCAATAAGAGCTTCTCCCGACCGTTCCAACAGCCATAAGTAGCTGACTAAGTTCGCCAGATTTGCTTATATAGAGGTTGAGTAAAGGTTTCCTCATATCGTATAACGCTTGAATACAGCTTGCGACTGTATTAATGAAATTAGTAAAGCGTTTACATTGTGAAAATTGTTAGTTGGGTATGCTAAGCTAATATGGTCTAGTTGTTGCACTACCAGGAAAAAAGCACTGCAAAGGATTCAGAACCAAGTTCTGCTGATGATTTTGAAGTTGCCTCCCTAACAGCGCTGGTTGTGTAGTGGTAAGCGTGATTTCCTCTCACCCCAGCAGGCCTGGGTTCAATCCCAGTCGGCGCCGCTGAGATGTTCTGAGGTATAACATCTTTGATCACGCCTTCCTTCGGAAGGGAAGTAAAGCCGTTGGTCCCCGGTTCATGAGTTGATGGGTTGATATGTAGGGTCCAGGTGTGGGAGCTGCCTCCCTGACGTCGGTAGCATTGGTGCTCAGCACGGAAAACAAGATTGACGGAAAAAAAATCAAGGTTAAAAAGAGTAGGGTTTTTGATATAATTTCCGTTCTTCTAAGCACAATCCGCGCTTTACCTCTTTTTTCTAAACGAGTTTTAAAAAAATAGAAGGGTCTGTGCCTAGGGACACGAACGGAAGCTTGACGTAGGACCGCTAAAAGACGAAATAAATGTGAAGAGCATTTAGTTCTTTTGAGTGATCAATTATCTATTATCTCAACTCTATCCGTTTTTGAATTGTAGGCGTTCCAAATTTGAAGTAATTTTTTTTCAAAGAGAAAGTTGATTAAGAGAATCAATCAAAATCACTTGCACCCCTGCTTCCAAGTTTGGTTACAAGATTACAACTCTGGAGAGCATTTTGTGTGGTCGTTGGGGGCTTATGGTTCTAAATATGGACAAACAAATCACAGATAAATTCTATTCCAACTCTTTACTGATGTACACCCCTATTCTGTATTTCGTTTCGAACGAAATTCTCATACAAAAAAATATTTTTTTGTATGAGAATTTCGTTCGAAACGAAATACAGAATAGGGGTGGTAAGCTTGATGGCCCTGAAAAGGGCCGTTTTATTGAAAAGGACATCCATGGTCACTTACGCTTGGCGTGTTTAGTGTAGGTGACAGCATCACGGACCTCATTTTCCAGGAACACCTTCAGCACACCTCGTAGATCAGACCGGAGATACGTTTGACACCACCACGGCGAGCCAGACGACCGATGGCGTTTATCTCGAAGAACTTTGCGATGACGCTTGGCGCCTCCTTTACCAGACCTTTTCCTCCTTTGCCACGACCAATCAATTGTTGCATCTTTGGGTGTGAAGGAGTGGACTAGCCACCACCTTCCTACTGCTGCTATTGCTGTTCACCACGCCGTCCGAAGCGAAAATGAGCTAATGCCATACAGCAGTGCTCTTTTATATCTTTTCAGGTTAAAGCAGAATGATGTGCAACCAAGTGGTTTAAAAGCTACAAAGACTCCTCCCATTATGAGTAGTTTGCTATCAAGTAGCGACACTGGTTATTTTCTTTTTGCGTACACGGCGAATGAGAACGCCCCAAATTTGAGTTTAGTTCCCTCATAATCGCCAAAAGTGTAGGAACTCAGCGATGAGTAAATTTGTCTCATGATTTCCTGTGGAAAACCTAAAAAATCTGCCAGAAAATGAGGAAATTGACGAAAATTTTATTCAGTCTCGGAGTAGTACCAATAGACTGAGTGAATCCAATCTTTACTTTTCTCCAATTCGGGAATTTTTCCCTGGAAAATCCTGGAAAAACCTGGGAAAACATGAGGAATATTTACTCATCGCTGAGTTCCTGCACTTATTTCTGAGATAACTAAACTCAAATTTGGGTCGTTCTCATTCGCCGTGATAGATATCGGCGCCGGTGGTTAGCGTGATTACCTCGCACCCCAGCAGGCCTGGGTCCAATCTCAGTCGGCGCCACCGGCATGTTCTAAGGCATAACATCTCTGATCACGCCTTCCGTCGGGAAGTAAAGCCGTTGGTCCCCGGTTGAGTTGATGGGTCGATTGGTAGGGTCCAGGTGTAGGAGCTGCCTCCCTGGCGTCGGTAGCATTGGAGCTTAGTACGGAAAACTAATCTCGCGTAACTTTTCAATAGGTCCTATCTACATGGATCGATTCTCTTCATCGACACTTTCTTTCTTAAATAACCCGGCTTCACAAATGTTTCCTGCCGTCTTCGTTGAATTAGATGCTAGATTGTCGCTTCTTCCATCGAAAATTTCCGGCCGTGGCGATTCAAAGTTGATCAAGGTTGATCAAAATAATTTGTACCCCTGCTTCCAGTTTGATTACATGAGCATTTTGTGTGGTCGTTGGTTCTGAATATGGGAAAACAGGCAGATGAATTCTATTTATTTACTGTAATAAGCTTGGTGGCCCTGAAAAGAGCCGTTTTGTTGCGAAAGTTGGTGATGATTTAACCTCCGAAACCAAACAGAGTGCGTATCTGTCACTTCAAAACGTAAATGGCATCCATAGCCGCTTACGCTTGGCGTGTTTAGTGTAGGGGACAGCATCACGGATCTCATTTTTTAGCAACACTTACAGCACACCTCGTAAATCAGACCGGAGATACGTCAGACACCGCCACGGCGAGCCAGATGACGGATGGTGGTTATCTTGAAGAATTTGCGTTTGGTTCTGAATATGGCGATGGGTGTGCAAAATATTACGCAATTCCATCCTCCATATTCGCACGCGCCCGAGGATCGGAGGCGAATGCCACTTCGACTTGTTTCGTCTACTTACTACTCTCTGACGACTGTGCTGGGGAAGCAGCATATGCATGTAGGTAATTAGTGGATTTGTTAGTTAATTCGACGCTTTTGGACAATGCTGGACATTTGCCAGTTTTTCAATAGTTTCTTGTTGAAAATCAACATTCGGAAGCATTGTTGCGTAGCCATATTTCTGATCGATTGGTGATAAAATTATTAAAATTGGACCAGGGACAGCTGAGCTATTAACGTTCAAAATCTTTCTTAATTTGTTACATGTTACATTTTCGGTTTTCACAAAGTGTACCCCCATATAGAAATCAAAGACGTAGTCCTACGTCAATTAATAAATGACATAGGGTTTTTGATCTAATTTCCGTCTTACTAAGCACAACCCGTGCTTTACCTCTCTTTTCTGAACGAGTTTAAACATAAAATGGAATATTTCTGTCAAAGATGGCTTTTAAATTTATTCACCTTTCCATACGTACCGTTAGATTTGATAAAGAGTCACAAATGGTTGAGATTTTGTTTAAAATCTTATACCGCTTCTTGATTCTAAATTCGTTCTACGAGTTTCAATTTCGTCCTAACGCATTGAAACGCCATTAGATTTTCTTCGTCCTACGGATAAATGTAGAAAAAGGGGATTCGCTAGGAGCGCTTCTTTTGTTTTGAGAACAATGAGCGTAAACATTCATACAATGCGCTCTTACAGGATTTATGTTGTAGCTAATGAACTAATGCATCGGAACAAACCTTTTATTGATTTGTGCATGGTGAAATCACTGATATTATTAATCTTATCTGATCGATAGAACGGAAATGGGCGATTACGACGAAGTATTGCTCTACCCTATATCAGATTTAACCACATAGAACCATGATCCGGAATATCTAGAACAGGTTCGATGGTGGTCATATGGCTATATGGTTGTGGTTTGAATTACATTGGTCATATTTCGTCTAGTAGATGTGATTTGATATGTCACTTAATATGTCAATTGATATGGTTATCAGAGATATACAATTTTATCATGTGGCACCATTATCCGGAATTTCCAGAACCGGTTCTACGGTGATCATATGGTTCCATGGTTGTCATTTTGAGTGCCAGTGCATAGTGGTCCAGGAAGCAAAATTAAGTGGAATAAATTAATAAATCGAAAAATGCTAGAGATAGCGTATTGATGTCTTCTAAACATTTTCTTGTAAGCCCTATTAGGGTTGGTTGCAAAAGTGTCCTGAATGTCAAATTCTACGAGTAGCTTCATTTTGTATCTAACTATGTTAATTTCAACAGATAGAGAAATTAAATTTTGTACAAAGTTGTGAACTAAAAAAACTTGAAAACTTATTAGAACATCGTTTTTGATTATTTCTTCTATAATTGGAGATATAAGCCATTTAAGAAAACAAAAGCCATACATCAGTTTTTTTTGGCTCTAATGTAGGCCTATGGATCTAAGGTTGAGCCCATCGCTAAAACTCTGCTATTTATCAATTTTATCTAGCTGAACGCTTCATTGGGACGGTACTTATGGATATTTTTGGTCGCTATTGAAAATGTAGTCGATTGCTGAATTTATGCATTGGCCCAAATAAGGGGAATTTAGGCCAACATTACAGCCATTTCCCCTACATCAGTAATATTAACTTATGTTGTTGAATTTTCGGGAGTGGAACGCGCGATATCTCCGGTTGCATTTATTCCTCGTCTCCTGAACCTCTTTGCTGCACATTCCAATTGGAAACACCGTGTTTTTGATAATGCCAGCCCCATACTAATCGTATAAATTCTGGAAGGGGCCTGAGGGGTAGTACCACCCAACATATGTAAGAATCACTCACCGGAATGATGTTAAAAAAATCAATTTAATCGGCCATGCCAACATTGAGATACAATTTTTTGAAAATAAAATGTTTGTCCCGGGCTTTTCCGGATTAAGGACTATTTTTAACCGGTTCCTATCCATCATTCTGCGCACCACGTGCAGGCTATGTTATTTACTGTTAACCTTTTCTTGCCATGCCAATTCTGTACCGAATAGGCGGAAAGGTGTATCGCAAAATTTCCCCAAACAACAGCATTGCGCATGCTTCGCCATTTGACAGTGGCCTCCATGCGAAGAAGGGAAATTGTACAGGGCTGTTTTCGTCTTGGAAACGGATGTGACATTTCCTACCGACCAGAACGCTCCTTTTCTGTTTTTATTCCCATGTCCTTGTTGTTCTGATCGGGAAGTGAAAAGATTTGCGGATAAGAAAAAGATAGTTTCCCACTCTCGAAGCACCTGCTATTTTGTTTGGAATTTACCTTGCTAGAGATGTAGATAGGAATCAAGTGTTGAGAATTAAAAAGGGTGTGTACAAACAAAATTGCTCGCAGTGTTATCCGTCTGTGGCAGTGAAAGTGGAAATCTCTACTGGGGGCAAATAATATGGTGGCTTTGGCCGGTCGCGCAAAGGAGTGTCATTGAATGGAGGCAGTGCTCATGAATAAATAGTCGGGTTTCTGTTGATACTTGAATGAATTTGAACAAACTTGTTTAGAGGATAAACGGTGTCAAATTGGAACGACTGGTGGAATTAAAAGTGAATTTTGTGCATAAAAAGGGACACTGCAAATCGATAAATTGATTTTCCAAGCCCAGTCCGGATGTCTCACCACTGTTCGAAGGTTGTATGTGTTTACGTTTCGTGCTTTGCCTGCTAAAATGCAATCCTGATGCGGAGCTGCTTTGAAGGCGAAATTATTTCGCTGAATTGTTAATGGAAGTGAGCCATAATTTATATTCTCGTTATTGATTGCAAGACGAGTGACGCCAAGCTTGGGGAGTTCTTTGCACGGAGGGGCTTCTTCGACTGATAACTGGGTGGGTACCGTAAAATGAGGCTTCTGCTATGACATCAGTGCCATTTCGACGTGCTTGGGGCGTGTTTTGCTACAATTAGACGCTTGATATGTGCTCTCCATGGTGTTTGGCATAGAATTCCGCTGCGTGTAGTGTGTGCGTGTGCTTGTGTGCTCCTGGAGAATTCACTTGGCGAAAGAACTTCTCACTCACAATTTGCTCAAAACTGGAGGATGAAATTAGATCCTCCGGTACGGAACTAATCAACATTAAGGAGTCATCAATGTTTCAGGTAAGAAGGATGGTGGAAACGTATTTAAATTTATGACATAAGTGCGAACGCGAATACTACTGATGATTACATTGTTTTAAATGCATTATGCAACAGCATTTAGCAAAGAAATCAGCGTGTGGTGAAGTATTTCTTTGTTCATATTGAGTTTTAAACAAGTTCCCGTTAACGATTCAGCGAAAAACATTTTGTGATCTCATAAAAATATACTTATTGCTTGACATTCTTACTGTTTGGTTGATTATCGACAAGAGTTTCGGATATGCAGTGTGGCTAGTTTAAACGATAGGTTTTACCTGTCCAAAGTTTTGGCTGTGTTTCGCATGGGAACTGAAATTTACCATCAGTGGCCCAAGGGGTCAAAGTTAAAGATTTCTATCCCGGGTGGCTGCTAGTTTTTTGTTCTGAATTGGGTCTATTTCAAATTCCAATTGACTTGCATGATTTCCTTGTAAAAAGTCCGCTGCCATGAGCCCCTGGGTCTGCCTCTGCTGCGATGCCTGGTCTGGAGCGCTAGATACCAACGCTGAGATTTGTCATTGTCATTAAAAGACTTCACACGATACTGAACAAAATATTTTTGGCATCGTCACTGGACTGATTATCAAAAAAACCTTTCGTGAAAATGTTATTCATTTTTTTGCAAATGACAAAGATTCACCATAAACAAAAAGTTTAAAATCGTACATTCTGTGTAACATTATCGGTCTCTAATCTTCTAAAATGAGCAAAACAATTCCATTGAGCCGTTTAAGTGAACAATCAACACCGTCCTTAATTTCCTGGATAATAATAGGCCATCAAAACTGAGCCTTTTGTGGCCATTGTGAAAAAAGGCTTGATGATGCAGATTTCAAAATGATGCACTGTAGGGTATAGGGGATGTTCGGATACGATAAACTATCGATAAATCCCGACGAAACTCCGAGACGAGCAACAAACAAAACCGCTATCAAACTAAGCAAATAACAATTTTTATTTTCACGACTTGTTTCAACGTGTTATTTTGTCTTATGATTATCAATATGAAAAAAGGAAAGTATATTCAACAACACGTTGCTGACAGTTGAGCGCAAGGTGATTTCCACTGATGAGGTGTGATGCAGTATTGGAACATCCACCCCTGCCTTGAGGCAACACTAAATACTCCACTTGACCACGCCGCAGGGTTACAGTTCGAACAACTCCTGTTGAGTCCGGGTGCAGCTCCACTATACGGGCCAATTCCCACTGAGCTGGCGATGCATTGTCGTTCTTGACCAGCACAAGCTGATCTTTTTCCATGTTTACCTCCGTTGTTCGCCATTTCGTCCTAGGTTGCAGGTTGGCAACGTATTCATCTTGCCAACGCTTCCAGATTTCGGTTGTTTGCTTGTGTAGGAGTTGCCACTTGTCCTGACGGTTCATCGGAATATGGCGTACATCTGGTTCTTGGTTGTCCGACCAGAAAATGACCTGGCGTAAGTACTTCGTAGTTGTCCGGGTTAGTTGGAAGTGGGCACAGGGGCCGCGAGTTGAAGCATGCTTCCACCTGCGTCAAAACTGTCGACAATTCCTTGTACGTTGTTGCTTCAGGACCCAAGACTGCCATCAGATCGTGAAGGCGGTGTAACACCCACTTGATTCCCAAGTTGGTAAGGAATCGACTTTTTGCTTCGGTGTGAGTCTGTCGTGCATTTTGAATCTCTTTCAACCAATGGTCTGTTCCCACGAAGTTTGTTCAACAATCAGACCAGATCTCGTTCGGGTGGGATCTTCTTGAGATGAACCGCTTCAGTGCACATATGAACATATTCGTTGACAAGTCACTAGCGACCTCCAAATGCACCACCTTCGTCGCCAAACATACAAAAACTACAATGTAGCCCTTTGTTGTCTACACACCTCGAAATCAGGATGCATGAACCTTCAGTGGACCGGCATAGTCCACGCCAAGGTGGATGAAAGCTCGAGTGTCCATCACCCTGGAAACAGGAAGGTTGCCCATGAGTTCAGTGGCTGTCTTTCCCTTGAGTCGCACGCACCGAGGGAATGCTTGAACGATTAGACGAACAGCTTTTTGGAGTCCGATCACCCAATATTGTTGATTGACCGTAGCAGTGAGTAGTGTAGGTCCCGCATGGAGATTGCGCAGATGAAGATCTCGCAACAATAGCACGGTTACCTTATGGTCGGATGGGAGTATGATCGGATGTTTGACGTCATATCCGTACGATTAATTCTGTAAGCGGCCTCCCACGCGCATCGTTCCGTGGCTGTCCAGGAAAGGGTGTAGAGCAGACAGCCTGTTTTTGACAGGCAGTTCCTTACCTATCTGCAAGAGTTTCAATTCCTCCTTGGGTACATCGTACTGTGCCACTCTAGCTAGCTGCGCCTTGGAATCGTAGATTTCATTCGTTGATAGTTCTTGTTAAAGATTCACGTCCTCTGCCTTGAGTGCCAGCACAAATCGGTTCACGTACGTCAATGAGCGCAAGATGAGAGTGTAGTTAGACCGCCGTTTCAATAGGCTAGTCTCGATTTCGTAGTTAGATCTGAAGATAATCGCCGTGCCGTGTAGTACCTTCATCTGACGAGTTTCCAGTAGCTGCTCGTCTTCGACTGTTTCTACAGATACTCGCTTCCAGTGTTCAACGTCCGATCTCAATTCGAGTGGTCCATGCCAGTCCATTAGCGGGTGCGTAACTAGTTCGCTAGGTGTGAGACCACGGGAAGCACAGTCTGCAGGGTTGTTTTCACTTCGCACGGTGCTCCAGTGGTCCCATGACAGCAGTTCCAAGCTTGCCGACGTGCGATTGGCCACACACGTCTTCCATTTGCGGAAATGTGCAGGCAACCATTGGAGCACAATACTACTGTCTGTATTTGCCCAAGGCTCCACTTCCAAGTGGTTTAGTGCTTGCATAATTGATTTCATCAGTGTTGCTAATTAAACTGCTGCGTTCAGCTCCAATCTTGGCAGGGACACTTACCACCCTAGTTTTGGCTGCCAAAAGATTCACAATAATATCCCCAGCTTCATTCCTTCCTCATGCATACACCACCGCAGCGTACGCCAGTTCCGACGCATGCGAAAACCCATGTATTTCGATCTTTCCATTGTAGTTCGGTGCAAATCGAGGAATGCGTATCTGCTCCACCTGGTGTAGTGTTTCCTGATATCAATCCACGCTGGTTCGACTGTTGGAGGTAGCCGATCGTTTCACGAGAGATCGCATAGCCATAGCTGCTCGAATAGAATCTTGAACCATCCAAAAGGATCGAACAACTTGCAGGAATCCGAAAGTCATTGTCGCTTGGTGTTCAGGCTGTTCAAAATGAGGCTAACCTTGAACGAGAATGAGTCCTTCACGGGTAACCACTGAATGCCGAGTGCCTTGACTGCGTTTGGTTGCTCTGTTAGCTTCACATCGACCGGTGCTTGAGCGTCCTGCGGCGCTTCCTGTAGTAGTTCCGAGCAATTTGTGGTCCATTTGTTTGTTTATTAATTTATTTGATAAAGCTCAATCGAATTTACTTTACAGAGCCGAGGATTCTTGTTCACTAAATTATCTTAAAACTAGAGTCAAAAGGTACAACACAATAAATATTTTAACTTCCGCTATCCAATAAGCTTCCTCCACCATAATGGGAGCCGCTTCCAGTGGTTTCATTATATGACAGTTACGCCAACGGGGTTCAGAGCGCTTCCATTGCAGCAATGGACGCAAAACGTGGTGAGAACTCACACATTCATCACGAAATGGTTGCTTTCCAAAGTCGACGACGCATCGACTAAAAGAACTGCTATTGAAGAACAATGAGGAGGACCACACAATGGTTGATGCCCAGTAAACAGACGATCGCGTGACACACATTGAGAGTGGTCTGATTCTGTCGACAGCCGAGTGAACACTGATTTGTGGTCCATTTCCGCAGGTGGAAACCAGCGGACTCCAATATCTCCCCAACCTGACAGAAAATCGTTGACGTAGGTGTCGAGCTCAATCCTCTGAGCGGCTTCTGGGTACACTTGACTATACTCGCGGGCTGCCTGCTTCATGGCTTCGATTGCTAAGTACGGAGCGCACTTAAGTCACGGTGCACAACCGATAGTGTTTGATTAGTTGATCCTCAGATTCACGAAACACGATCCTCAGATAGTCACGATTCACCGGGTGTACCATTACCTGGCGATACATCTTCTCTACGTCCGTTGAAAACGCCACCGGGTGGGTTAGAAAACGTAGAAACACCGAGAAAAGATACTGGTTGACGTTGGGTCCCGCCAAGAGTCTGTCGTTGAGCGACACGCCGGTCGACGATACACACGAGACGTCGAAGACCACCCTAAGTTTCGTAGTCGTGCTCTCGGTCTTGACAACGGCATGGTGTGGAAGGTAAAAACACTTGCTAGTCTCTACTTCCGGTTCACTTTCTGGTGTTTCCTCCATGTGTCCCAATGTCAGGTATTCACTGAGGAACTCCGAGTGAAAATCCTTGTCCTGCCGAAAACGTCTCTCCATTGATTGCAATCGATTGATGGCCGTAGTGAGAGACTCACCCAGCGCTGGCTTCGAATCGTCGGACGGTAATCGCACGATAAAACGCCCATTTTCGTACAGTGTGAGAGAAGACAGAAGGGGTAAGCTGTGGTGGCTTCGGAACCTCCTCCTGCTCCTAAAACATCCGCAAGGTGCGGTTAACGTCTACCTCTGCATGAAGATTGATGATCGAAACGTTGGCTTTAATACTCGACGAGTAGATGGCTTGCTTAACCGACACAATCCACCCAAAGATCGTGTTCTGCGATCGTGTTGCCCTGACTTGAGTAGAACAAGAAAGACATCTGACCCTAAGATTATGTCAATCGGTCCCAACCGCTGATATGCTGGATCAGCAAGGTTTTCCTGTATCTGCTTGTCCAGGAGATTTAGATGCACCCTCCAGTGTCGATGTGAGCTTCCCCATGATGTAGGCACTTGTCTGCAAAACAGTTGTGTCAACGAACCGAGTGGCAG